CGTCAGAGCAAATCAAAGCAGCCAATCAGAGGAACCCTTCGCGCATTTGTGGTACGGAAAAAATAGACGCGGCCTGGACGCGGGCTGGGCTAAAGAGCCGGTGTCACTTTCCCTCGGGCGTAGAGAGAGGGTGCCGCTGTACACTCAAGCAAATTCCCATCGCATGATGGTTTTTGAACAGATGTAGGTCAGGAGGGGCAAAAAACAGGCTCTCTTTTTCCGTGCATGGCAAAGAATAACATGTGCACCGTCTAATGTCTTATTTGTCACAGTTAGAATCCTACCCATGTCCACGCGCATGCAAGGCCAAGAGAGAGGTGCAGGCGCGTGTCTATGTAAGAATAATAACGTTAGAGGACAGATGTGCAGATTTGTAATCTATGTCAGACAATGCACGCCGTTAGAGCTTCACTTTAACTCCAAACTCCACGACAGATGACGCTCTCGCTCTGGCTCAATCCTGAGTACGAAGGGGGCACTGCATGCAGTTGGCTGCACCATAATGATAATTATGTCGTCCCTATATCGCTTACTAGGAATCGCGGATTTCCCAAAATTGGCACCCACGCACAATTTATATACTTCACTGCCTCTCTCTTCTCGTCTGTAACATGTATTGGTATAGCCATCAAACCGGTAAAAAATATATACGTTTATAAAAAAATGTCGAGCAAATAGGAATTATAGCGATTAACACCACAAGCGATGACTATGCGTATGAGTTTTTAAGTAGTAAGATAACGTTGACACGAGTCTGCGGTCGCAGTGAATAACTGCAACTTAAATAGGTAAGATGTACCTGGAGTATACAGTACTGGACGTGGGAAACTGATTGCAGGAACGCCCACATTTCATTCATCATAAACAGTGTATGCATGTGTAGCTAAAACTGTCTAATACGATAGAGGTACGTTACACGTATCAACGATGGTCCGTCCGACGTGTTGGCAGCTGGTTGTATAGTTACTACACAATTTTTATTTAAGTCGATTGAGTACGACACTTTTTGAGTAGAAAACCGTCATTCATTCTTTCGGAAGATTACGCGAGAGCGAATTTTTGGTTCGTATTCCGAGTGACGTGGTCATAATATACAAATTACGTATGTGCGAAACTGTATTGCAATGTACTTGTTAGGAATCCAGGTGAGTAAGGGAGATTCACTGTTTTTCGTCTTTGCTTGGCTAAGCAAAACT